TTGAGAACATTAACTCTGTACACGATGAAAATTCTTTGATTCATTTTGCTAGTAATAACAATGAAAATTTTAGTTATGGAAAATGAGAAAATTTTTAAAGTCAAAATTCATTTTGGAAAGGAGGAATTTGCTTGTATAGCAGGTTTGTTCGCTCTTTCATCTTTATTAATAAATTAAAAGTTGTCGAGTAGTGCAAAGTAGAGTCAAATGACTCCAAGTGTCTCTAGAACACAGCTAGTGGTCAATGTTACACAACTATAGTCGTTGTCACTAATTCTCTTTCATCGAGTTAGTCGGCGCACAAATCAAATTAAACACCGTGTTCTACCCATTAAATCTGTAACATTCTACTTTATCAGATATTATCACAGTTGGCCCAAAGTTCTTATGGGTATTTACTTCAGGCTTTCCTGTATATCTTACAATCAGTGCGACGTATCTCCTAGTTGGCAACTACCAGAGGGTGACAAGTAAATTAATTCGCCTTTTATTTTCGGTTAATATACCGAAAATGTGGCCTTAACTCTTTCTATTCCTAGGATCTGAGGTTTTTTGACACTACGTTGAACTCATGCGATGAGACAGGACCAAGATTTGAGTCAATGAAAGCAATTTTATTGCGATAAACGAGCTAATATACAGAGTCTTTGTAAGGTGATGTATTTAATTATCTATATAATTATTTTTCATGACCAGAGACCTGTTTATGCGAATGCAGAAAAGTGTGTTTATTGATTAAGTTGACTAGTCAAGCAGATGAACTATTACTGAATTGGAAGGAAAGTGAAGTGTACTTGGATACCATGAGTCTAGTGTAAGAAGCACATAGGCTACCTATACCCTGCAAATTTTTAGATCACATTTCTTCAAAGGGACTTCAAAAAGACTGCAATTTCTCGCAGTGTTCAGACTGATTTGGAAAATTCAACTGTCGATGTCACGAATCTATAATGTTTCCAATATAAAAAAGAATTAGGCTATTTATGCTTTGCAGGCCTATAGACCATATTCTTCCAAAAGGAATTACAATTTCTTGGATCCTTGGAATTAGCCAGGTAATTTACTCTCTGATAGATTAACACTATGCTGTTCGGTGGCACCACGTTGGTGTCATGCGAAAACTATCGGGCAAATGCTGGTGACACCACGTTGGTATCATGTCAAGCAAAAGAATTTCGATTAGACGTGCGAACGGCATAATGTTAAAATTCTGCATTGGGAGAAGGATTAAATGCACCTGGTAGTCGTGATAGACTATGTTCTTTCAAAAAAGTTACCATAATTTACAAATTAATTTAAATTTAATGATAAAGTGCCCTACATCCTCTCACTCAACAGGTCCATCACATCTGCTTATGTCTTCAAAAGTGGTCGAAAATTTTTTAACATCAATTATTATGCCAATATTATCAGTACTGTCAGATTTCGCGATATGACACTAAGTACCCGTATAGGTGCATTTCCAAAACCATGTGTCAGTGACTAATCTAGCCAAAGATTCGGACGTTTCGAACCCTCGATCACGAAATAATTAAACAATCGCGTAATTGTCAGCAGTCGATCGTGCGAGCTGTCAACGGGGTATTCAAGCGACCCGTTCGCAATAATTGACAGAGCAACGTGGTAGCGCCATGCATTCTGACGCAGTGGGGCTCCTATGAGAGATTGGTCGACTGCTGTAAATCGCTATAATGCGTCGTCGGTGCACCGGCGCGAGATTGCAGAGGTAACGCTGCATTAACTAAGGAAGAACGGCTTTGGGGAACGAATGGAGACCTCCCGCGGGATTAATAGCATCGACACACTCGCAATACGATTGACAATGTTTCGAGTTTGCTCGAAACGGATAAAGGAAGCACGGAAATGTTTCCAATATCGGATAAAATTGAACTCTGACTTAGTGAATCGACTTATAGTCGTGTTTAGTATCGTCAAGTGAGAAATTTATAGTTATAGAAGTGCATTCCACTCACTATTCGAATTTTCAAAAATTACTCGTGACTGTTTAAACTGTATTTACATTAAATTTAAACTATCCTTAATGTCAGCTTCAATAGGATTACGTTTTTCGATTAAGTTACTATACGTGTATACACATGGAATAAGAAAAGTTAGTAGCAATAAAATAATAATTAATTTACAAAGAATATAATGCAAGTCATTGAACAAAATATAAATCCTATATATTTAAATATTAAATAGTAAAATTCAAATTTGGATCAGAATATTCCCTTAAATACTATTATCTACGTTCTACGAGAGTATACACTATCAGGAAGAAGCTCAGTTTTCAAAAAAATAAAGAAATGTAAAAGTTACTATACATGTATACACATGGAATAAGAAAAATTAGAAATAATAAAATAATAATTAATTTACAAACAATGTAATGCAAATCCTTGAACAACATTTAAATATTAAATAATAAAATTCAAATTTGGGTCAGAATATACCCTCAAACATTATTATCTACGTTCTACAAGAGTATACATTATCAGGAAGAAGCTCAGTTTTCATAAAAATAAAGAAATGTAAAAGTTACTATACATGTATACATATGGAATAAGAAAAGTTATAATAAAATAGTAATTAATTTATAAAAAATATAATGCAAGTCATTGAACAAAATGTAAATCCTATATATTTAAATATTAAACAACAAAATTCAAATTTGGATCAGAATAAACCCTCAAACACAATTATCCACGTTCTACAAGAGTACACACTACCAGGAAGAAGCTCAGTTTTCATAAAAATAAGGAAATACTTCATAATTCCAATTTTAATTTTTATAAATCAAAATTGGGGAAATTTATAATTCCTTTTTCCCGAAAGAGAGCTTTCGATTTCCAGAAACTTCTCATTGCAATACTGTGCACGAATAAACAATTTCTCAGAATGCAAATTAATCGTTATATTGCTAAAATTTAGCTTCGAATTATTAAAAATTCTCAAACCAGTCAAAACAACTACTTCTAAACTTCCCATTTTCGAATTTACTAAAAGCATGCATCTACATCTACGAGAATTAATAGAAAGCACTTAGGGTTGCATTTCAGTCAGGTGTCGATAATTCCAGTGGTAAGACTAACCACTGCTTGAGCAATGCGAGCAATACAAGGTACTAGATTGCGAAGGTACATCACTCTACCATTCTGACGCGCGTATGTTGCCACATTTTCGAAGATGGACTGAGTCTGGTGACCATGGGTCCGAACGTGCATATGGGGTGCATTGTAGGATGGCAAATGCAACGGAACACTCGGTGTCCTCGCGCGAAGGACCTTGAATTACGGTTACACGTGCTGCAGCTCCTGTGCATATTTGATGTATTTTCAATCGGATCTCGCCCTTTGCGGCCAAGTCCATCGTCGTTTTATATGCAGATATACCGATGAACGACTGATCCGGGTATATACGCCCGCATGTGTATATGTACACGTGGTATATCTTCTCGGAGATCAAAGTGCAGCGTTCCGAAATTCGTAATTTGTGGGATTAATGCTCTGATTAGTGCGATGTCCGACTGTAAAGGATTTAAGGGGAATGGATTTAATGCTCCAGGATTAATCGCGACGTAAGTTTTGACGCCTGTGGATCACTTGTCACGAGAAAATTCGATTTCTGAATTAATTACATTAGGAAGGTGTCGCTGATTTTTTAACGCCTTTATTGTGTAAATTTGAAATATAATTAGTATCGATTTGTAATTTAATTAATATAATAATTTTTGGATGAAATTTTTATATAAATCATTGTTGGAGATTTTTTGCAGATTTTTGTATTTATCGTGTAAAATTGAAATATAATACGTCCCTATTAAAGCAGGCAGAAATTACGGATACAAATGGAATTTGGGAATTTGGGAATTTGGGAATTTGGAATTTGAATTGGTAGAATTGTGGCGACTGATTTATTCGTTTCGATCATTTGCATGTCATTTCTATTCACGGTGCTTGATAGCGAAGGATATTTAATTTCTTTTCAATTTTCAACTTGGTCCAATTCATACCCAATTATTGGTTCTCTGATATCGTCACGAAATTGAAGTACTTACATTTAGTTTTTACTTCGTTAGAAATAAATCAATATTCCACTGTATGTAAGCGTGAAATATCTGTATATCTTGGTTTTATTCCAACATGATAAATTCCGAAGTACGGAAGGATTATTTTTTAATAAAAAGATGTAACTCCACGTTTGCATTTAGGTAGGAAATACGTAACACGAATCAGGATTTTACCGCGTGAAGCATTAAAGGTCGCTTAAATGGAGTTTTGCAAAGGCTAATATTACTCGGCAACTTCTGTTCTAATAAAAGTGAGCGCACTCGCAAGGGTGGAAAGGAAGTGTAAAACAAACACAACGAACGTGTTCGAAAGCCCACTTGCTAGTGTGGCGAAATGCTTTTGAACTTTATGAACTTTGAAGAATCTCGAATTGCTTTCAGAAAATCGATCTCTAAAAATTAATTGCAGAAATCAAATATTCCCATCGCTTGAGAAATTTCGGTGGAAAAGCGTAGAATGTAACTTGAATTTTAGTACATAGGTACGCGAAGATTTGTATTTAGAAAAAGAAAGAAAAGTGAGAATATTTCATTTCATTATGTTTCCAAATTTTTAAGTGTAAGAACGAAAAGAAATTTTGGAAATTTTTACTTTTTAATTCGAATGCTTCCTGAAGGGATGCTAACGTGCTGCACTGTTATTTTAGAGAGTAGAATGTAACTTGAATTTTAGTACATAGGTACGCGAAGATTTGTATTCAGAAAAAGCAAGAGAAATGAGAGTATTTCGCTTTATTGAGTTTCTAAATTTTTAAGTGTAGGAACGAAAAGAAATTTTGTAAATTTCGACTTTTTAATTCGAATGCTTCCTGAAGGGATGCTAACGTGCTACACTGTTATTTTACTCTTTTCTATAAGAACAAAGAAAATGTTCCCTGAGTACTTTTAAAAAGCTTAGGATGAACGTGATAAGAACACGCAAAGTACTTACACATGTGGTAGAGAACCAAGTTTTTCGTAGTTCCGTTGTACTTTTGGAAGGCTCGATTTGTGGGTGCGAACACCGTCACGTGACGATACGTGAGCGTGGTGTTGGCCACCTGACTTGCTTCCAATAACTGGTAGAACTGCAACAGGAAAATGAATATGTTCATTATAGTTTTATTATTTTATTTTATATTTTTTATTTCACAAAATCTTACCATAATTATTGTACAAAAAAATATTTTCTCTTCTTTCCATCATCCGAATTTATACTGATTCAAGAAACATAAATCATACATTCATATGTGTGTATATATATAAAAGAAATTCTCACATAAAATATTGGGATTAATATATTATGTATTGTATTATTATAATATGTATTATATTAGTAATATATTATATAATAAGTATAATTTTTGTTTCAAATTTGTGAAGTAGATCAATATGAAAATTTATTAATCAACGTACATACACATATCTGAGACGTGTAACTGTTCGATTCATATATGAGCCGTTCACTGCATATATCAATTAACTCCACTTTTTGAAAAATCTTAAATATAAAAAGTTATGACTATACCAAGTGCTTTGACATTTAAATTCAAGATTTTTCAGAAAGTGGAGTTAATCAATTTATGCAGTGAACAGCTCATATGACAGGGTTAACGTGACTCAAAAATTATCAATGGAAAAGCGAGCATGTTTAGGATGTCGAAGAAAAGAATTGAATAAGGAATATCAAGAATATTCGTATATATGAAGTTAATTTAATCAATACGATATATTAAATAAAAATTTCCCAGTTTTTAATTATTAATAAAATATGTACATTTCGATAACATTTTTAAACCGATAATTTTATTTTAAAAAGAAAAATTTTATTATAAGACAAAAATGAAGAAGTGCGAATGAATTAATGTAGTTATTACGATACCAAGTGCTTTGACACTTAAATTCAAGATATTTCAAAAGTGGTGTTAATTGATCTGTGCAGTGAACGGCTCATATGATAAAGAATAAGAAGAAACGAAAAAATATAGGGTTTTTGAGGTCACAGTTTTATTTTTGCTATTCACAGGAAAGGGAATTATCAAAAAATATTGCACGATAGATTTCAATAGGACAAAGTATGTTCTCGTTTACGATAGTCGTACAAAAACCGAAACTACGTTCTGCATCGCAAGTATGGTTATAGGGTCAGTACACCGCAGCGACGCAGTGTCCTGGTGGCACTATTGCGAAGTTTGGGGATGGACTCCGGAAGGAAGCAATAAGTAATGGGGCGGTGACGCTTACAGATGCATGGGGGCACCCGAAGTTTCGGGTGGACTTGTCTGAATGTCTTTCAGAAATGGCTGCATAGAGTCGAAGAAATGGAGAAGTGGGAAAAGAGATAACGTGAGTCTACAAACATACACGTATTACATAGTCGTAGTTAGGAATGTATGTATGTACATTATCGTAGAGAATTGTGCGAGATTTATGCGACAGTTATTTCAAACGAATATATTCGATCAATCGTAAAAATATTCGAATTTTTGCGTCATAAATATTTAACAAATGAAATATATACATTGAATATGAATTTTGGCATAATGCTGCGTCGAAGACACGTGGATGAACTTATAAAAAGCTGCTGAAGAGATAAGTTTCGTTATATGTGTGAATAAATAGTTTATGAGACCTAGATTCAGAGAACGAATGTTTATATAAACATTAGATAAGATTTGGGGGTTTAGGTGAACCTTGTCACGTACCCTCTGGACACCCCTTCAAGAGTCGGTCAGTCGTTCTAGAGATAGACTCAAAGATAGGTATGTTAGTGGTGAATGAAATTTAATAATAATAAGAACAATTATTTATTTAATTACAAAGATTATTAAATACAAACATTAGGTTGAAATATAATTTATCACAATCACATGCTCACACGTCTTCTCACTATTAAAACTCAGTTGCAACTGACATATGCCAAATCACTCTCATTTTTTCTTTCTTCTTTCATACATTACATTACATATACAATTCACACAACACCTCGATTATTACACGCATACTCATTTATCATAATAACCTGAATTCATTAGATATTTTCATTCCATGCATACTAGTTCCACTCATTCCAACACATATATTTAAAAATCTATGTAACCATTACCACAAGATATACCTTCCTTGAGTAATAAAAGAATTTAAAGAATTTGTTTATATATTAAAGAATTTAATTAAAAGAATTAAAGAATTTATATATCGTGGTTATTTTACAATTATAAACTCATAATGCCAATAAAAATTATAGCTAACCTATAAAAAGAGGAGGCTATAAAATCTTGGAAATTCTATAAAGATAGAATTGATGAAAATTAATAAATAATTTTTCTCAAGTTTTTCTTCAAGAATATCATATTAGGCGAGAAAAATTTTCGACACGTGGTGCAGTAAATTCACGATCTGATTAACCTAACAGAAAAGTCTCAAGGCCCAGTACCGTCACCTGGTCAACTTCACCCTAATTAACACTAGACCTACCATGACCTAAACAACGTTTTAAAAACTTTTAATTAAAAATTCTCCATTCAACATTATCACTTTCGTTACTTGCCTTCGAAACTTTTCTCATAGCATACATGCACAGGGTGCCCTGTAATTTATCATGCAACCTGTAAGGGGCTGGTTTTACACAAAAAGAAATAAACCAAATACGTAGAATAACGTTTCCCTCTACGACGTTTCGTTTCTTAACAAATTGAGTTTAAATTTTCGATAGTTTGCGGTTGCTATACATACCCATATTGGTAATTAGATCGATAAGTTCGACAAATATTAAGTATTCTTGACAGGAAAAATAAAATTATAGAACAGACGTAAAGCGTTTCATGAAAAATAATTCTCAAACCAAATCAGAATCGAGATATAGAAGATAGTTTACTTCAAAACATATCAGAATAGTTTACTTAAAAATCTTAAAAAATAATAAAAATATTTTTTCACATAGAATAATTCTCCTTCAGTTTGAATTACGTTTGAGTTAAATTTATAAGTTTATTTCATCACTTACAGGGCTTTATAATCAATTTCCCAATACCTGTCTCTTCCTATATTCTTTTACTTCTTCTAAAATCCATACCTAACCTATCTAATCAATCACGATCGATGATTTATTATAAGATAATTATAGTAAATTTAAAGACGACTCCATAATTCCACCTCCTCAATCGCGATCAATTCCACAGAGCCTCTCTCAGTGATTACCATAAAACGAGGCGAAGGGGAATAAAAGAAACGTTCATCGATTTCCTGCCATAAGCGAATGTATCGTAGCTCAACAACTGGTACATGGAAGAAGCAACTCAAGTCACGCCGGATTAAACGTACGATTGTGCATGGCGAATTAGCGATCCGCGTTCCACAGCCAGGCGAAAGCGCTTAATCCGGCGCGTCGAATGAAATTTCCCAGGGTCTTTGGTCTCCCCGAAAATTTGCACAAAGGAAGCTCGTTAGTTATCAATGCGCAATTAACCCTGCGCCAAGTCAAATCGCGGGAAATATTAGCCGGCTCGCGTTCCTCCCTAACGCCGAATGGAAAAACACGACGAACTACAAGGCAGAAAAACCGACGAGCAGGTGTCCTCTTCTAAGGATAATAACGTAATTTTCCGGACCACGTGTCGTTTTTATTTTTATTCGGAACGTGTGAGTAATTTGGATAATGTCTGTGACACGAGGATGTCGATGGGGATGGATCACAGTGATTTTTATTTAATTTCTGATAATTTTCTAACGAAGTTTGTAGTTTCCTGTATGAAAGTTATGCTTCATTTTTATAGAGGATCTATATTTTTTATTGTAGATACCTGTGCCTATGCGTGAGTTATGATAGAGGCATATAAACTTTGCAATTTGACGAAACTTTTCATATTTTATCGCTTTCTTTCTTTACAGCCATTGATACAAAGTTTGACAAACACCTGCGGTGTACTTTAGCTAACCCTAATGCTGAGAGCATAACAACTTTGAAACTCTATAAGTGAGTAGTGTTTGCAGATATTTTTTAAACGCTTTTTACGTTTAACGCATTAATTTGAGACATTTCTATTTAGTATATATATATATTTTTCGACATGTTTACAGATAAAATGAGTATGTTGAAATAAAGAGGGAGTTAGAAATTTTTTAACTGTGTTATTGGGTATAAAATAATTTAATATAAAGGTGGTTTTAATGCTAGGATAAGAGGAATTTCAATGAATATTTTAATTTCTGGTAAAAGCTAGTAGAGTCTGATACATCGGGAAAGGCTAATCAGTTTTATTTATTAGGTTGATCGAGAAATTTTATAGTCCGATTTTATTTGTATATTTTTAACGTTATCTAAGGATTTCTATAAACTACAGGATGCTAAAATATAATAATCAGTTTTAATTGTCGAAATATAAACCGTCAATGAGGGTAATATTGTTGGCAAAAATTGATATTGTTAGCCATTGATAATTTGTGCAGAATATAAGTTTCTTGGCAGGAAAAATCCAATATGGAGGATCAGGTTATATAGACATTAATAAAATACTTCAACAAATTAATGAAATAAATTGTCAAAGGGCTGAAATCAATCATAATAAAAATAAAATTAAATCTTTCGTCAAAGACTAACTATTAAAAATTTCCACTGAAACAATTAATTCCTCCAGTTAAAAAGAAAGATTTAAAAAATGATGAAGAACAAAAAGAATCTTGAAATATAATAAATAAATACATGAAATATAATAAAATTTGATATTTTAAATATCAAAAATATTTAAAATCAGGTGTGTTTGGTTTTTGAAATTTTCCAAACTTTTGCTGAGAGAGCAAACTTATTTCGTCGAATTTACCGAAACAGTGTGCCCGAAAGGAATATCGCAAACAAGTACGTAAACTGGTTAAGTAAAATTAGTTTTCCCTCCCGTGATTCGGGACGTTGCATAAGGTTAAAGGATTTTTATAGACGATTCATACTTCAGGGAATTCCATCGTCTCACAGAATCCCATTCGCGTTCGACGTTTCTCTCCTTTAAAGCTGCCTTTTGCTGGGATAAAAAAGCAGGAGACGTCTGGCTTTCATGTCGCCATATCAAATTGTTGCTGCCGGAATAGCCTTTGA